TTTTTTTTTTTTTTTTTTTTTTTTTTTTTTTTTTTTTTTTTTTTTTTTTTTTTTTTTTTTTTTTTTTTTTTTTTTTTTTTTTTTGTGAACTATCTATGTGTGTCGATGTTTATAAATATTTCTATAAAAAAATTTTTTATAAACTTGAGATTGTAATATTTTGGTTGACATCAAAATTTTCATGAAAATCCAGATTTAAATATTTTTGTCAACGCCAATATTTTAAATATTTTAAATGTTGACGTTAAATAACTTTGAATTTCTACTTTCAAAAATTATGAAATGGGTTGATTTTGTAAATAGAGGAGATTTTAGCCTAGCTTAGCTAAGCAGACAAAAAAATTTATTATAAAAATTTATTATGGAAAGATAAAAATAAAAACTTACTAATCTAGCTGTCAATCTTGTTAGACGAACACACACACACGACTCTCCACAATGGTATGATACAATTCTCATGGCTTTGCTTTGGGCTTCCCAAAAGGCCTCATACCAATGGAGAGTGTATTGCTTTGATTATAAACCCCATACCAAGCTTTGATTATAAAGCCTGGGCTTCCCAAAAGGCCTCATACCAATGGAGAGTGTATTGCTTTGATTATAAACCCCATACCAAGCTTTGATTATAAACCCATGACCATTCCCTAAATTAACCGATGTGGGACTTTCATCATCCAACACCTCCCCTCGAACAAAGCACGCCTCCCCTTAATCGAGGCTCAGGAGGCTTGACTCCTTTTGGAGTCCTTTGTTCGACATTTAAAGATTTGTCAATCTATTGACACGGCTAAGTGGACTTTCATCATCCAACACCTCCCCTCGAACAAAGCACGCCTCCCCTTAATCGAGGCTCGACTCCTTTGGAGTCTTAGTCATTTTTGACTGCCTTCGTACCTTCGAGGAGGCTTGACTCCTTTTGGAGTCCTTTGTTCGACATTTAAAGATTTGTCAATCTATTGACACGGCTAAGTTTAGGGCATGGCTCTGATACCATGTTAGACGAACACGACTCTCCACAATGGTATGATATTGTCCACTTTGAGCATAAGCTCTCATGGCTTTGCTTTGGGCTTCCCAAAAGGCCTCATACCAATGGAGAGTGTATTGCTTTGATTATAAACCCATGACCATTCCCTAAATTAACCGATGTGGGACTTTCATCATCCAACAAATCTCATAACACCAATTATATGTGGTTAAATAATTGACCTTTTTCCTTTCTATATCCTTTATAATGTGTGATATATAAGAGGGTTACATAGGAGATTTAAACACAATAGCTTTTCTCATAATATTCGTTACGTCCCTGATTTTTTTTACCTATAGTAGTGGCGTTACTGCATGTAACGACCTTAAATTTCTGCTAGCTTAAAGTCGTTATTGTATACATCACGTGACTTTTTAGGTAAAAATAATCATTCAAAATGTCATTGTAAGTCAATATCATGGACTTACATGTTTAATAAAAGATATTTAAAAGAACACAAAAGAAATGCTAAAATAGACGTAAATAAAAAAAATAAAAATAGTAAAGCTCTATGCTAACCTAAGATCTATGAAATTAAATACAACTACCATAACCATTTTTATGGTAGTTCATAACCTTAAATTTATGGTTTGTTTCGGTTATTAAATCTCATTTCGTTCATAACCATTTTTATTAATATTCTCATTTATTTGGTTCAGGTATAAAAATTAGTATTGCTATGCCTATATAAAGGCTTGTCTAGCTTTGTGCCGAGTCTATGTGAAGTCATTGTCATTTTGATTTGCTCAATGAAATTTGGGTTAGGTGTGTAGTCATGTGAAGTCATTGTTATTTTGTATTTGCCTGTAACTTTGTAAGAGAGACTTTGTAGTGTGAGGGTGAGATATTTGCTTGTAAACACTTGTGGATGTAAGGAAATTTCTTCTCTCTGAACAACATAAATCTTTGTGTCTTTTTATTTAATTTCTGTTTGTAGATGTGTGAGTGCGATCAATCTTGCTTCCGCTTTCGCTACAACAATTAGGTATTAGTACATTTTGGTTGTGACATTCAGCTACAACAATTGGGTACCAAAGCATTTTGGTTGTGGCATTCCGTTACAGCAAGTGGTGTCAAAGCATTGAAGGTTGTAGCTTGACGGCACAACATGCTTAAATCGAAGCCATAATGCTATGTTTGAACAGTCATGTGGTTATGTAGCACCCGAGTATTTAAAAAAAGAAAAAAAGAAAAAAAACGCAGGAGAAAGGGTGGAGGCCGCCGCGCGTCGGTCGGCGTGCGGACGAGAGCGGCGGAATCGGTGAACGACATGTGTCGTTCACCAGCTGGTGAGGCGTGTCCTCCCCCGGCAGCGGACACGCGTCAGGCGCGTTGATTCGGCCGGCCCGACCAGCGCCGCACGCGAAGCGCCTGATCCGACGCCTCCGACCCGCGCTTGCTCGGGAAGCAGCGCATGGGCACGCGCGCATAGGAAGTGCGCGTAGTGACCCTCCAGGGTGCATATGACGCACGTGGGAGCACGTGAGGCACCGTTTTTCTTCCCGTTCAGTCTCTATTTGCTTGTTTTTCGCCCCGATTTTGATGCTGACCTTATTAATATGTGAATTAGGACCTGTGAAGGAAATTCCAGAATTGTTGGAATCCATTTTGTCAAGAAAACTCGAACTCAGGAAGGCACGCTTCAACCAAGTAAGTAGCCATTTGGATTCCCACGAGTAGTACTTGTAGGAACCGCTAGGAACAAGCATGCATGCTACCACCCATTAACTTAGCTAGCCGAACCTGTTTATTAAATCTATTTGATTGAGATTTTGATAAACTATGTATGCATGAGGAGGATGAGAAACTTGTGAAATCTGCGCTCTGGGTAAAGATGGACGTTATCTTCCCGTTAAGCATGTTTGATAATATTGCATGAACTGCTGCGTGTTAACTCTTATGCATGATGATTGCTTGTGTTATCTTTCTTGATGAATAGGAAGAAATTACGAGCTTAGATTAGGGTGCTTGTGACTAAGTGGGCTAGATGAGACTCTATATTGGGGGACCTCTAGAATACCGTACAATTTGACCCGCAAAATGATTACCGGCGGATCGAGAGCCCAGAATTCCAAACCCGATAGGTTTGTGAGACCAGACACGAGAATCCTAGAGATACATGAATCCAAGTCTAAGCCACCAAGGTCCACCCTAGAAAGAATAATAGGTCACCACGATAACTGTAGGTAGCCCGCTAGAGTTGAGCAATGTAGATAGTGTCATCAGAACCTCCACTTCCCTCTCTCCTCCGATACCGTACCGTCGAGACAGAGCTTCGGTATGGTGATCATTGAGCTTTGCAGATCCGGATAGGGAAGTGTGACAGGTGCCCAGCCCTAGTGGTGATAGTTAAGGGGTCTTCTGAACAGGACTCTTGGGCCGTAGAAACCCGTCCCTGAGCAGGGAACGTGGAGCCACATACGATGACTTAGTAGCTGACCGGCACATAGGAGGTCGCACCTCGTTTAGTGGATGTATGGTCCCGTGTGAGGGTCGTCAGCTAACCTCCACGGATGATGTTCAAAGAGAGTCACGTATTCAGGTCCAGCCATTTGATCCCCTCAGATTTACTTATGAGGTCGCGCCTTACCTCAGAACCTTGATCATATCACTGCTTAAGATGGGCAAGCCTCCGAAGATACAGAAAAGAGAGTTGCAGCTTAGATCACTCTCCTTAGGAACCCAAGAAAGACCGTGGTTACCTACCAAGATAAGGATGCGAAAAGAGCTTACAAGTAGGCTGCTTACTGAGTATTTTTTATACTCATTCCTTTTTACTCTTTTTTTTTTTTTTTTTTCAGG